GACCAGTGCTGCTGGTTTGAATGATGTTGAATTGAGGCTGGATGAATCCTTTTCTGATGAAGGGAGTGCTTGTTTGCAGGAGAACCCTGGTGAACTTGGGGCTTCCCAAGAGTGGCCCTGTAGTGGTTTAGAAGTCAGTTCTCAGGGAGCTTCACAGGTGGATCAGTCAGTTTATACTTTGGATGAAGTTAACAGTTTTTTAGATGAGACCTACGGAAAACAGGTTAATGTGAAAGATTTTTTTCCTGATATGGAGAAGTTTGTCAGGTCGGTTTCACTGCTCCAGAAGACTGTGGGTCTTGACCTTTTGAATGAGAAAAAGCGCTTTCGGCTAAAGAAACATGTTACACACATACGTAAGTATGGTAAACTGGTGAAGAAAAAGTCTTCCAGTCATCTGTGATAAATTGATCATGCGTCACGTGGTGTCTCTACCTCCTATGTTTCTGTTCTTTCTCTTGGCTCTTCTCTTAGGTCTATTTATGGAAGTTTTAAGAGTAGGTTCTTTTAACATAAATGGGGGTAGAGATAGACTGAAACGTGCTTTAGTATCTGATACTATACAGCAGAAAAGACTGCATGTTACTTTCCTTCAGGAGACACACAGTGATGTGGATAATGAAGTTGAGTGGGCTATGTGGTGGGAGGGACAGCATGTGTTGAGTCATGGCACCAATTTGAGTGCTGGGGTGGCGATTCTTTTCTGTCCTTCATCAGGGGTTAAGATTTTGCACACAGAAGAGGTCGTGAAAGGTCGTCTTGTAGTGGTCAGGGTTGAAATTAAAGGCATTCAGTTCTCCTTTGTGAACGTCTATGCCCCCAATGTGGGGCATGACCGTGTTGCATTTTTTAACACTTTGCACACTACTTTAAGTCGGTGTGCTAATGATGGATTTACTGTCATTGGGGGGGACTGGAACTGTACGGTGGATTTTACCATAGACCGTACTTCTGAAGAACCTCACATACAGTCTTCTGTGTGCTTGTCTAAGCTCCTGAAACAGTTTAGGTTGTTGGACATGTGGAGAGTTAAGAATCCTGTAGCTAGACAGTATACATGGGTCAAGGTCTCTGATAATAGAATTAGTGCTGCTCGGCTAGACCGAATTTATGTGTCTACACATCTTGGCAGTAGAATCACTGAGGCTGTCATTTCTCCTGTGGGGTTTTCTGATCACCACTTGGTTTCTATCACGGTGAGCTTGTCACGCATTTCTAGTGCACCTTCATATTGGCATTTTAATGTGAAGCTGTTGCATGATGCAGTTTTTTGTGCAAGGTTCATGTGCTTTTGGGAACAGTGGAAGACCAAAAAAGTTGATTTTGAAAATTTGAGACAGTGGTGGGAAATGGGCAAGGCACAGATAAGAATGTTTTGTCAACAGTATACAGCCAATTCAAGTACAAGAGCAAGACTGACTGTCCAGGCTCTCGAGAGGGAGATACGCTCTCTGGAGCTTGGACTGACTGCTACTCATGACCCTGTTACGTTGGGAAAGTTGCAGCAGAAGAGGAAGGAGCTCAGTGTCTACTTGAATGAGAGGGTGAAGGGGGCCTTGGTGAGATCCCGTTTTACTACACTCGCAGACATGGACGCTCCAAGTGCCTTCTTCTTCAATCTGGAACGTTCAGTAGCACAGCACAAGCAGATGGTCTGTCTTCGCCTTCCGGATGGACGAGTGTCTACTGATGTCACAGACATGCGTAAACATGCAGTGGATTTTTATTCTGCTCTTTACACTGCAGAACTCTGTGACTCTGACTGTGTTGCGCAGCTTCTTCAAGGACTCCCACAACTGGACTCTGAATCCAGAGATGAGCTAGACTCTCATCTGACTCTGCAAGACCTCACTGCTGCGGTTGGACAGCTCAACACAGGACGGTCTCCAGGCATTGACGGCCTGCCCTCTGACTTTTATAAGCATTTCTGGGACTGTATTGGGGGAGATTTTTATGAAGTAATCTGTGAATGCATCAGGGAAGGGGTTTTACCTGGTTCATGTCAGCGTGCTGTGTTGTCTTTGTTGCCTAAAAAGGGGGACCTCTCTCTTTTAAAGAATTGGAGACCAGTTGCTCTTTTAACCACTGATTATAAAATCCTTTCCAAATGTTTAGCCAATAGGCTCAAAAATTACTTGTCTTTGGTAGTGCATAGGGACCAGTCTTACTGCATTCCTGATAGATCGATAATGGACAACCTGTTCCTTGTGCGAGATGTATTGGATTGCTGTAAGGGTTCTGATAAGAGTGTTGGGCTGGTTTCTCTTGATCAAGAGAAAGCCTTTGACCGTGTTGATCACCAGTACCTTTTTAATGTGCTTAAGGCTTTTGGCATTGGGGATGGTTTTTTAAGTTTGGTGCGTTTACTGTATTCTGGTGCTGCATGTTTGGTTAAGGTGGGGGGTGGGTTGAGCAGACCAATCCCAGTCACAAGAGGAATTAGGCAAGGCTGTCCTTTATCAGGTCAGCTATACAGTCTAGCTATTGAACCGCTGCTCATCTGTCTGAGGAGGAGATTAGCTGGCTTTCAAGCTGCACAGGGATTTAGGGGTCCAGGGGCAGCACTATCTGCCTATGCTGATGATGTAACGGTTTTTATCAAAAACAGTCAAGATGTTCAGGTTTTAGTTGAGTCCCTCAACTTGTATGAAAAGGCATCTTCTGCCAAAGTTAACTGGGAAAAGAGTGAGGCTCTTTGGGTAGGCCAGGAACAGATGGAAAGGCTACCACGTCTGCCTGGGACTTTGAAGTGGGGCAGAGAGGGGTTGAAAATTTTGGGTGTCTTCCTGGGGACAGATGACTTTCAGAAGAAGAACTGGGAGGGTATAGTGGAGAGAGTGTGCACCAAATTGTCTCAATGGAAATGGTTGCTACCCCGGTTGTCCTACAGGGGGAGGGTGTTGGTGGCAAATAACTTGGTCGCCTCCACCCTGTGGCACAGATTCAGTGTTTTACAGCCACCTGCAGGACTGGTACAGGAGGTGCAGAGGATGTTGGTGACTTTTTTCTGGTCAGGACAACACTGGGTTCGATCAGCTGTCCTATACCTGCCAGTACAAGAGGGAGGACAAGGTCTGGTGGATATCAGGTCCAGGATCATGGCCTTTCGTCTGCAAGCTGCCCAACGACTACTGTTCCATGGAGCAATTGCTTGGAAGAATACTGCCACTGTCCTTTTGAGACGAGCTGGGGGAATGGGGTTTGATAAACACCTGTTCCTTATGACAACGCCAGAGGCTGTGTTGGCAGGACTTACACCTTTTTATAGATCGATGCTGGAAGCATGGAAGGTGTTTTCTGCCTCAAGGACTACTGATACGCCTGTTGGTATGTGGTTGTTTGAGGAGCCATTGTTCTTTAACCCCTTTTTACCATCAGCTCTTTCATCTTCAGCAGTATTGCGCTCTCGTTTGGTGGCTGCAGGATACACGAAGCTGGGCCACCTCATGAGAACTGGAACAGCGGCTGTGAGTGAGAGGACGGGGATCAGGTCCGGTCGTCTGCTGAATCAGGTGATGGCAGAGGTGCAGAGGTCACTGCCAGCTGACTACCTGAGCTTCCTGAATGACCCATCTGTCATCGCCCAGTGGAGGGAAGGATGTCAGTATGATTTTCCTGAACTGACTGTTAGCCCTGCTGTGGAGTGGACTGAGGACGAGAGGTGTCTCCTTTCCTTCACCACTCCAGTACTAGGCACCTTCTCTTTGGTTGGAAAGAAGACACTGTACTTGGTATGTGTGAAGGTGTCCCAGGCACGCTTTCTGGATGGAGTTTTATCAACAAGGTGGTCTGAGTTGTTTGGCACTGACTCCTCCCCGAAAGGCTGCTGGCGGGTTCTGTATAAGCGTCCGATTGATAAACGGACAGCTGACCTCCAGTGGAGGATTGTACATGGAGCCATAGCTACAAACAGACATCGGGTGCATCTCGATCCAAATATTGGGGAGGGCTGCCTCTTTTGCCCACAAATTGAGTCTCTCTTTCACTTGTTTGTGCAGTGCGCTCGGTTGGGTGATTTGTTCTCCTTGTTGACCGAATGGTTCTCGTCGTTGGGTGAGGCTTTCTCCTTTCAGCTTTTTATTTTTGGGCCCAAATACACAGTAAGGAGGAAAAATGTCCTAGTTTTACTAAACTTTTTATCTGGTACAGCAAAGCTAGCAATCTGGAAGACAAGAAAGAACCAGATGCTGGGTCAGGGAGCGGTGGACGTGGTGGCTGTGTTCCTGGGGTTGGTGGCTGCACAGCTGAGAATGGAGCATGCTTACTATAATTTGGTGGGGAAGTTGCCAGAGTTTGTGAGCATTTGGGGCATTAATGAAGTCCTATGCACAGTCGATGATGTTGGCAATCTACGGTTGATGTTTTGATTGTGGGTGTTGTTTTAAATTTATGTTGCAGTTAATTTTTATTTTTTTTCATTTTTTTCTAACACTCGTAAAATTTTGAGCAATAACCTTGGTGTCTTCGTAGGTTTTTGAATGTCTCAATAAAAGGGCTTTTAAAATTCAAAAAAAAAAATTCTCTCTCTCTGCTTCTCTCTCCATCTCTCTCTCTCTCTCTCTCTCTGCTTCTCTCTCTATCTCTCTCTCTCTCTGCTTCTCTCTCCATCTCTCTCTCTCTCTCTCTCTCTCTCCATCTCTCTCTCTCTCTCTGCCTCTCTCTCCATCTCTCTCCATCTCTCTCTCTCTCTCTCTCTCCATCTCTCTCTCTCTCTCTCTCTCTCTGCCTCTCTCTCCATCTCTCTCTCTCTCTCTCCATCTCTCTCTCTCTCTCTCTCTCTCTCCATCTCTCTCTCTCTCTGCCTCTCTCTCCATCTCTGTGGAAGTTTGTGGTTCTGCACTGCAGTATCTCCGAGCTCCACATCATACAGTGCTGTGACGCAGTCTTAACTTCTCTCTCATCCCTCTACCCCCCCCCACCCCCCCGGTCCGTTCTGCCTTGTCAGCATTCACCACCCACCCACACTGTCCCGGTTCCGCGTCTGTGTGTGTTTACAGTACCTGTGCTGTTCTCTGCAGGTTCTCTTCTCCTCCTCTCCCTCGCTCCTCAATGAATCAGAGCCATTCTCTGTTTTCTCTCTCTCTCTCTGCCTTTTTCCTCTCTCTCCCCTTTCTCTCCCTCCCTTCTCTCTGTATACTGTTTCTCTTTCTCTCTCTTTATCCCTCTCCCCTCTCTCTCTCTCTCTCTCTCTGTCCCCGAGGCTTGTTTAAATGGGTCTGATGCCGTTTTGGATCATACCACGTGGCATAAAAGAAGGGGGGTACTACCTCTAAGGGAGGGGGAGGGGTTTACTACACATCATTAACTCTCTCTCTCTCTCCGCACACACACACACACACACACAGGGCAAAGCTGTGTGTGCAGTTTGATTCAGAATTCAGTGCAGGGCGGAGCTACATCTTCCTCTGATTGGTTACAGCAGTGCAGGGGGCGGGGCTAAAGCAGGACTAGCAGGACACAGTGTACAGACAGCATAAACAGAGTAAAAATGAGAATGTAGAACTCTGACCTCACTGATGGACAGCACACACACTTCAGACCAACACACACACACACACGCACACACACACACACACACACACACACACACACACACACACACACACACGCACCACCCTCACATAGACTTAACACACACATTTAAACACACTCACCTTCAGAAAGTACAGCAGTAAAGTCCTGAATGAATGAAGTTCTATGTGTTATTTATAACCAGGCAGCGGTGTGTGAGTGTGTGTGTGTGAGTGTGTGTGTGTGAGTGTGTGTGTGAGTGTGTGTGTGTGTGAGTGTGTGTGAGTGTGTGAGTGTGTGTGTGTGTGAGTGTGTGTGTGTGAGTGTGTGTGAGTGTGTGTGTGTGTGTGTGTGTGTGTGTGAGTGTGTGTGTGTGTGTGTGTGTGTGTGTGTGTGTGAGTGTGTGTGTGTGAGTGTGTGTGTGTGTGTGTGTAATAGAGGGTTCTGTGTGCTGTCTAGACTGAGGTCTGCAGGATTGTACACACTGTGGGAGTTTATAAGACTGTAATTATAGACACACAAAAAAACACAGTTCTCCTGCCTCTCTCTGTTGGCTCTCAGAGTCTGATCTCAGTTTGAGACTCAGTCTGAGTCTGATCTCAGTCCCAGTCTGATCATGATCTGATCTCAGTTTCACTCTGATCTTGATCTGATCTCAGTTTCACTCTTTTCTCAGTAGGATCAAGTCTCAGTCCTAGTCTGATGCTGTGTCCAGTCTAATCTCAATTTGATATCGGTTTTAACTTGGTCTGACCTCAGCCCCAGTCTGATTTCAATCAGACAAGTCTGAGTCTGTTCTGATCTCAGTCTGATGTCTCCCATCTGTGTCCTATTTTGATCTCAGTCTGCTTTCAGTCTCAGTATGATCTTAGTTTTCATCTGTCTCATCTCAGTCCCAGTCTGATCTCAGTCAGAATTCAGTCCCTGTCTGATCTCAGTCTGATATCATCTCAGCTCAGTGTTTTCTTTGTGCTACCTCAGTCTGATCTCAGTCTCAGAGCAGTCTTATGCCGGCTTTACACCAAACAACTTTTAAAATGATGTCACTGTCGCAAACAAATAAAGATGAGAGTTCTGCTAGAGTTGGGTCAGCTCCCGTCATCTCCATCGTTTGGCGTGAGGTGGGCAGCACGGCTGTCTGAACTCAGTCTTTCCTCGTCTTGACGTTCTAATCAAATCAAACATGTTTAATCTTAATCATAAGTTTTCATGATTAATATTAAACTATTCGCTCACACAAATAGTGACTCTTGTACATTTGGACTCAGTCTAGCTTCAACTCTCACTCCAATCAGAATGCGGAGGGCTTTGGAAATTAGCAGCACATGGAGTCGACACTAACAAGGGACTCGAACACTTATCAAAAATATTCCAACAAGTTACTTTATGAGCTACCTGCACACATTACCTGAGCTCCTCTTAAAGGAACAGCGCACCTTTACTGGCCCTTACATCCTGCAGGATCTCCAGTGTTTGGAAAAACATCAGTCTGTGACTAAAAGCTCTGTTATGACACACCGTCTTCAGATGTGAGAGGATGTCAAACTTCAGCCTTTCTGAAGTTTGTTCAGAGTCTTTTCAGAGTCTTCTAGTGTACAGTCGGCAGATCAGGTATAATCTGAGGTCTTTGTTCCTTCTCAGCAGCTCGAAATCACCAGAAAATCTCATGACCTAGATAAGTTCTCCTCACACGCACAGTGCAGTCTGTGAAGAACTTCATTCATTCATCCTGCTTTTCCAAAATCTGGGCAGCAGGACGGCAGATCTTTCCCAGAGACACTCACACAATTCGTCATGCTGTGCTGAGTTTGGGAAACCAGGTCCACGAGGAGAGAGAGAGAGAGAGAGAGAGAGAGAGAGAGAGAGAGGATTGTGTTCTGCTTCAAATCAGTGAAACACAGTAACCCAGTTCAGCCTCTATGGGCCTCACTCAGCTGCTCTACGGCCTCCAGCGCCAACTCCACACCAGCCTGATCAGGGCCTGAAATTCATTTTTTAAAATGGAGGGAAATCCCCCCCTTAAACGTTTCACATAGGGAGGATTCATACCCTTTGTGTGTGGGGTACTACTTGTGAGCTTAACTACAGGTGTGAATGAAGGACACTCTTCCATGAATTTAACCAGATGACCAAATTTGATGAGCAGCTCAAATCACCATCGTTAAGTTCGAGCCATGGAAATATTCTGAGCCAGTTAGTCTGAAACTTGTCTTTGAGCTGCTGCTTCACCTGGCTAACCTTACCGTTACCTGACTGAGGATCCTGAGGATTAAATCGGTTAACGCTGACATCGCTAGCACTGCTGTTTGCGCTAGACTTTCGGGTTCCGGTGTTTTTTCTGAGCAGTTTCCACTTCAGATGATGTAGATTTACGTTTTAGCCAGCGGTCCATGTTTGCAGGCCTTCAAGTCCACATCATAGAAACCTGACTGTAAATGTTAGCGAGAGGTGCTGCAGCAGCAGAGGGCGCTCACAGGCTCGTAGATAGAGGGAGGGAGAAAGAGCGCCGAGTGTGCTGTCCAGAGCGGAAGTCGGTCTGTTCGGCCAGTCGTCCCGCGTTCCACACTGGTGCAAATGTTGGCTGAACATTGTTAAACATCGCTGTAAATGTCTGCAGGAATTTCCCGCATTGTACGTGTTACACTTCCTGGATCTGTAGAGTCGCCCTTTCCATTCCATCTCACCCCGAGATCATACGACACTCACACAATATGTCACTGTTTTGTCGGTTCCAACTATTCATATCTTGAACTATTCCAACGGTTCTTCGGATTTATGGAGAACGTGTTGTAAATGGTTCTATATAGCAGCATAAAGAATATATATATATTATATATATATATATATATGTTAGGGGTGGGAATCTCTGGGCACCTCACGATTCGATTACGATTCAGAGGCTGTGATGCGATTATAAAACGATTATCGATGCTCTCTCATATACACCATTTCTGTTTTCTCACTGTGTGAGGACTCGGTAGTTTTAAAGCTAAGTATCTGTAATGATCCATAATGAATTTACTTCCAATATCTTTTATTAAAAATCAAATGGAAGTGATGTGGTCAGTGAACTGGAAGGCTCTCATTCACTGCTCTTGTTTGGAGAAGCTGCTGCCACTCATCTGCAATAAAACGCGCTGTTATGGTGAAATAAGGTCCAGTGGCGGTGGGTGTCCAGACAGCGCGTTACAGCCGTCCTACCCGTTTTTAGTGACTTTATAACTTTGGTTTTGGTCTCGTTGTAGAGACGGGAGGTGGGGGGGGTCGCTGTGCCAGTAAAGTATCTTCGAGACGGGTCGTGTGCAACATTGTGCGAAAGCACTGATTCGCAACGACTGAGAACTGCCGTGCAGACTGCAGGTCACCTAGCAGCGATGCGTTATTCGCATTTATAAGCAGCGCAGTTGGTTTCCTGGTCCGCAAATCTGCAATGAGAGACTGTGAAACACTAAACAGTTACGAAGATAAACTCGCTTCTCTTCCGAATTTTCTCGTTCCACCTTAAATGGTGTCACATTTACATTCGGCGCCTCAGTCAGAATTTAAGGTGGAACGGGAAAATTCAAACAAGAAGCTGGAGAATAAGAAGCGACTTCAGCCTCGTAAAACAGCCGAACGTTGAGAGACATTTTACAATAAACTGCTCTAGTTTTGAGGAAAGGTCTTCTGGCCGAGTTGGAGGAAAGCGGCTGTAGCTGAAGCTTAAAGCAGAGTAGAGTAAATCTGCGCTCTCGTTTATATTGTTTAGTCTATATTAGGACATTAACACACACTGAGACACACTGAGACAGACTGGACATTAAACGTTGTGGCTCCCAGGCTGGTTTGCTTTTTGTTGAAAGGACAAAATGTCTCTTCTTATCATTTGTCCTGTGACTCCTGACCTGACCTGGCTTTAATGCAGAGGAGCCGGTCGGGTTTCTCGCTCACCCAGTAGTGTTTTTGTTATGTGCCGCCACAGACTGTCATCATCAAGGCTATTGAGGTTCTAGCTAGCTTTCAGGCTCTATAAGGAACTCTCCAGCATCTACATTTCAACATTTAGTTTTTGTGGCTTTCGGTTCATCTCTAACACTGCACTGCTCTCCTGAGCAGCCCTGAAGTGAAGCGAGTACCGAGCGCTGAGAGACGCTCTGTTAAATTAAACACAGATCAGAAATAAATAGTCCGTCGTGTAGGATCCAGTTCACTCTTACTTTAATTCACACATTACAGTAAAGTCAAAATAATTACCCCGTTTTTTTAAACAAATATCTCAAAATAGTGACATTTTCAGTACAAGCAGCTGAGAGACTGCGGCCCCGTAAACTGGACCTGATGCTGGTGGAGGCTGAATGAAGTCTAAACTCTGTAGCTCATACTGTAGCAGCATTACTGAGGTGTCTGTGTTCACCCATTACAGCTGCTGCCCTCTACAGGCAGGAAAGAGCTACTTCACCCTCATTTACTCAACACACACACACATATTTTACACAAACACACATATTACACACACATATCAAACACACACACACACACATTTACCATCAAACAGCTGATTAAACTATTAAACATACAGCTCAGTAACAACAGAGAGAGAAAGAGAAAGAGAGAGAGAGGGAGAAAGAAGAGAGAGACAGAGAGAGAGAGAGGGGGGAGAGAAAGAAGAGAGAGAGAGAGAGAGGGAGAAAGAAGAAAGAGAGAGAGAGTGAGAGAGAGAGATAGAGAGAGGGAGAAAGAAGAGAGACAGAGAGAGAGAAAGGGGGGAGAAAGAAGAAAGAGAGAGGGAGAGAGAGGGAGTGAGAGAGAGATAAGGGGAGAGAGGGGGGGAGAGAGACAGGGAGAGAGAAAGAAGAGAGAGATGGAGTGAGGGGGGTGTGAGAGAGAGAGGGAGTGAGAGAGAGAGAGAGAGAGAGACAGGGAGAGAGAAAGAAGAGAGAGATGGAGTGAGGGGGGTGTGAGAGAGAGACAGGGAGAGAGAAAGAAGAGA